AATCAGAGAGATGGTAAGTCAGTTTGTCTGCTCTATCTTGGTGGGTTTAAAAGGCTAATCAATGTAACATCAAGGTAAGATTTTCACCATTTCAAGTGTGTTCCACATTTGCTTCCCCTGCTCTGTCTCCTTCAGGTACTGTGCAGGTACTGGATGAGTAAAGCAGACAGACTGCTCAGTCAGGCATGGGCAGGTTGCTCAAAGACTGCTTTCAGCTGAGCATTCATAAAGTTTCCAGACAAAATTAAATATGCATTTTGATTGAGGACAAAGATGTTGTGTACATTGAAGAACTCAAAAACATTCAAAATCCCTTCTGTGTTATCATCAATTTAGAAGTACTTCTAGCATCACTAGTGAGTGCTGGAGCTGTAAGTCTAATTTACTAGGTTTAAATAGGGGAAGAGAATTCTTAGAATTTTCATTTGTATTGAATTATAATTATATGTAATTTATGCAAGGTAGGCTTGAGTCTGCAAAAAGCCTGAAGCATTTAAAAGATGTGAACTCCTCTTGCCACTACTGAAATACAGTAGTTTTGGTGGCTCCTACTTATGGATTTTTTAAAAACCCTTCTGATAAAAACAATAATGTCATTCATTAATGACAGAAAATGAAAATTATTGCAACAAAAATAAAAGGTGATATACATGAAAACAGTCTGGAAGTGTACACTGGGCTCATTAATTGTTTTTAACAATGGATTGAACAGATTTATTTTGTTTCTTCTCCACAAATTATCTTTGAAAGGACACTGTTTTCTGGAATATATTTTTCTTTCGATGTACTAATATTTAATGCAAACAAATTACAGGTTCTACTTTTGCTATAAATTGCAAGCATGTGGTACACTCTATTCTATAGCTGTAGAAATGAATGGAAGTAACCTGAAGCCTTTCAAAATCTGTGTTTGAGCTGTGCAGTTGAGTATGTGTTACAGATGGTTGGGTATTGCTGGTGGTTCTTCATTGTGCATCCCAGCTTTTGATAAGCATATTTTATTTAGTCATTCTTGAGCATTCACAGGAAAACAGTTTTGTTCTTTTACCTAAGGCCACTCCATGAGAAGTCTTCAGTACTATTTGTCTTTTGTATAAACAAAGGATAGTTTGAAAATGTAGTATTGTTAGTTTAAAAAAAAAAAAACACATCTTGTTTACTTGAGCATTCTCAATATTCAAGTACTTGTAGGTTTTATCTCTTCATATGCTATGTGTCTTTAGATCAGTCTCTCCTTTACTGTCTTTCAACAGCTACAAACCACCTTAAATGTATCCTGGTAAACCTGATTTTTGACAGAGACTGAAAAGTCAACACATACTAGGGATAAATACAGCAATTACACCTATTTTCACCTATATCACTTTTCTACATTATTATTATTATTGTTATTATTACTAAGCAGTTATTAAAAATAGTGCAGCCTTCAGAGCTGCTTTGATTGTCAGCCTGGCAAGGCGAGGGCTGCTTTGGGCAGGGCTGTGTTCCAGGGGCGTGCTGGGGCAGTGGCAGCACAGGAGCCCTCCCGGTGCAGGCTGGGCAGGACCCCCTGTGCCAGGTGCTCCAGCATGGACAGATGAACAAATTGCTCTGGTTCATCCTTTCTTGCTCCCTGCTTTTGTCCTGGAAGTTTCTGCTATTGGTTTTTGGTCCTTCTACTGTAGTGCAACTTGGCTACTCGGAGGTGCTGCAGGTATCACAAAGGCGGGTGCAGAGACAGGCTGCATGCACCCCTCTGCTCCACCAGACCCATGCTTTCCCCTGAAATGAAGGGGAATTTTCCTCCTGAGCTGTCAGTGCGAGTCCTTCACTTGCGTGAGTCCTTCTGTTTCTGCCCAGGAGAGGGCAATCCAGCACCCAGGCAGCAGCCAGATTATCCCAGCCCTCCTCTGGGGTGCCCAAGGGCCATGTGCTGGTTAGTGCCTCACCAGAGGGACACAAAACGTCGCTCTGTGTTGGCTGGTGGGTCTTATTGAACACTTCCAGCCAGCTGGGAATCACAAGCCTGTGTCCTGGTCCCTCTCTGCTCTGGTTCCTTGTTTCGTGCTCATGTGCAGCATTCAGGCAGGGTTAGGGTAAGCCAATGTACTCTCCAGGTTTGGGGACTGGGAAACCAAGGATATGTTCCAATACTTCCTTTCTGGCCTCCAGGTGCTGGTGTAAGTCTCACCACCTTGAGATGCAGCAGGATTTGCATGTGCATATGCCTATGTAAAGACAACTCTGCACACACTTTCCTCATCTGTTGGTAGCCATGCCTGTGCACAGGCACAGGAACAGACTCAGATTTTCAGATTTGGGAAGACTAGACTCTTACTCTTGTTTTCCTCTACCTCTTTTTTTCCTCTACTCACATTAAACTTGTTTTCCAGGTTAAGGAGTTTATTGACTGCCCTAAATCTTGGGCCAGATATTTGCCTTTGACCCCTGGGCCGCTTTGGGTAGCATCTTGATACCAATGGTGCAGTGGGTTTGGAGCAGCCCAGGCTGCCTGCATGCCCCCTACCCACACCCCCAGAGCACACACAAAACTTAAAAGGCAGCAGATCCAAGTGGGAATCGAGATTACACTGTCAGGATCCCTGTAACTTTATGTTCCTTTGATTCTGCCTTCTGTTTTACTGTTCTGCACATCACACTAGTCTAGATGATAACAGGCAACTGGAAGAGTTGCCGGAGCCTGTAATTAGCAGGCTCCTACCCTGGGACTCGGTTCTTGCTGGTGGGCTGTAGGTGTGGGATAATTTGCCAGTTAATCAATAGGAATTATTAAAATATCACTGCATATTTTTGCTTTGTGCTGGACCCATACACAGAAGCTCTTTTAAGGGGGTTGAGGGGAGTATCTGGGGTTTCTACTCATGAGAGCAAATCCTACTGCTCCTTCCTTTCCCACCACCTCAGCCAAAATAAAAATACTAATAGACTTGCCATGTTTAACTTCAGTGAAACAGTGAATTTTAGTTTAATCAAGAAGTCCTTTAAAACAGAAATAACTTACAAGTTATGAAAAATTCCACCATTTTAATTACAGAGAGCAGTGTGTCCTCTCTTAGGCAGATATATTATATTTTGGATTTGCTTTGCAAAGAAGGTAAAATCCATAAGCTGGCAGATTTCTGGTTGGGTTTTTTGACATTTTTAAAAGTATATCATACTTTGGTTATAAATAATGTATTTATTAGTGCTGTAACTCTATTTTTGCTGGTCATTTGGGTTTTAGGTTTTAAGGTAGCCTTGTTGGGATCTTTTAGAATACAAGGTAGATGCATAAAAGTTTTCTTGTAGGTGTGTAGCCATGTTACAGGCTTTCCATGGGGTCAGCAAACCCTGGCAGAGTGCTGTCACAGTCACTGCAGCATTGCTGAGCCAAACATTGTACATGCTATTTATTAAACTCAGCACCTCCAGTAATGCTACTGGAGTGGCAGTGTAGTATTGCTACATAGCTGGGGTACTCTTAAAGAGAGAAGTGACATTCCTCATGTATTATCTGTTGTCTCTGTGTTTAGTGACAGAAGCTGTGGGAAGTCTATAAAAACAGCTCAATACGTCACTTCTTATGGAAACTGTTATTCCATAAGAACATTCAGAAATAGTTTTGCTAAACAACTACTGGTAGAGGAAAGATAAATTATGATTCTGTTCGGTGGTCAGTAGAATATAAAGTATGAAATGTCATATTTTATCCTGAAAAGAGAGGTCAGACTTTCCAGAATTAGCCACGTGCCAGTGAAAATTAGAATTTTTCAAATATGTCTTAGAATATTCCTACATTCAGTCAGATTTGCATTAAATTTTTGACCCTGAGTAAAGCCATACCATACTCAAATATTTTTTGGGATTATTACAAAAATTTAGAAAAAGTAATGGTGTGTGCCTTGATTTCCCCATCTGTGAAATGGGTGATCCCGCAGCGTTCATGCAGAGCACTCCGACTGAGAACCGTTGTGGCTGCAGCTCATTGTTATTCTCTTAATCATATTAGTTAACTAAATCTGTTCCTAGAGTGGTTCCATTTGCTTGAATGAATTTACATGAGAGATTAATTCAGCGCTGTTTATTGTTGTTTTTACATTTATTCAGTACTGTAAATAATGCCTGATACTTTACAGCTGTGTATGAGGACACAGCCTGTGCTTCGGGGACTTTTTCATACAGGTAATTTGAAGGCTCCCCTCCTAGACCTTGCACTTTCCCATTGAGCACATGAGCCCATTTTGTTTATTCTATATTTTTAGGACTTTTTGTTCACGTGGTGTCCGCTCCCAGCACTTTCCTGCAAGTATGGATTCAACAGATAAAGTTCATCCCTCACCTCCAAGGGGTGATCTCCTCCCCTTGCCCTCCCCTCCTCCCTCGGGACCCCCCTCCGAATGTTAGATATTCACTGGCAACGCTCTCTAACCGCGACTGGATTTATGCCCAGCAATGATCCTAAAAGCTGGGAGCAGTCTCCCACCTAGCTGCCGACGCCTTTACTCCGGACAGCGGCGTCTAAAACGACCCATTTGTGTTCGGCTGACCCCCGCCGAAGGGCACCGCCGCTGCTCGTCCGGGGGTCCCGCTCTGCCACCCGCCCCTTTGTGCTTTCCCATTTTCCGGGAGGTTTCTGCGGCTGGCATCCGAGTGCTCTCCATTGTGCGAAGTGTGGCGTGCGGGGCTATTTCTTTGTGCCGGCCGCCCTCCCCGCCGTGCCCCGGGCGCGGCCCCGGGCGGGCAGCGCGGAGCGGCCGCCCCGGGCGGGCAGCGGGCGCTGCGGGAGCCGTCGGGCGCGGGGAGCGGCGGCTGCCCGCGGCGGGATGGCCGTGGCCTGTGTTTATGTATTTTGTATAATCACATTTCTGACATTACCCGCGGGGTGATTGGCTCAGGCAGCTTTTAAACCACCTATATGCTAACGAGCCCGCCGCGGCTCCGGCGGGGGCCTGCGGGGGGACAGCGAACCCCAACCCGCACCTCTGCCAGGCGGGGAGGGGGGGATGGCATTTCTGAACTAGTCGGCAGCGCGGACAGGAAATGACCCCTCCAGAAACTGCTGCTTTAAAACCGAGCGGCGGTGCCTGAAGCTATCCAGCCTCCCTCTCCGTGTCTGGAGCCTGTGCGCTCCCGCTCCCCCCACCCCCCCGCCCGTCTCCGCCGGAGCGGGCTCCCACAGCAGTCCCCAGCCAGTGCGTGCAGCCTGGATGTGTGTGTGTGTGTGCGCGCCGCTACTTTGTACTGTGAAGAACACACAGCCCATGTGCTCTGTATGGATGTTGATGATACTCTGTGTAGCTTGAATCTCTGCAAGCAGGCAAGATGTCCAGCACACCACATGACCCTTTCTATTCTTCTCCTTTTGGCCCATTTTATAGGAGACACACACCATACATGGTGCAACCAGAGTACCGAATATATGAAATGAACAAGAGGCTGCAGTCGCGGACGGAGGTAAGTCCCCCAGCCTTGTTTTCCTGTGCATGGACCGTGGTAGGTTTCAGCCCGAATTCCAGCTGAAGCGTCCCACTAGACAGTACAGTATATGCAGGCATGAACCCTAATTAATTTAGTAGTTTAATTGGGTAATCCCTCATTATGTTTCCACGCAGAGCAACTCTTTGAGGAGATACCAGCTTAGGCTGAAATCATGAAATTACAGTACAGCACTTCAGGATTGATTATAACGCTGGTCACAGGAAATTTCTTTGCCTTAGTGTGTTGTTTGCTCAGGATCCGTCCTGCTGGCATTTGCAGCTATAATATTGCAAAGTATTGCTTCGGCTTTTGCACAAAATTAATTCTGGAATGTTGCAGGTTTAGGGGGAGAGACGAACATTTCTTTGGTTTTGTTCTGTAAACTCGTTAAAATGAAAAATGGATGATAACTGAAAAGAGGAGCGGAGTTTAAAAACTTATTCCTAGACTACTCTTAAAGAACACATGTTTGGGACAACTGACAAGAGAAATTTGTGTTTACATTTAGAATGCTGTTGCTTTTTGCAAGAGAGATGGTCAGTTCACTACTTTATCATATAGCTGTCAAAAGTACCCAGTAATGTAAACTACATTCACTGTGGGTTATGCTTTGTAAAATGTGTTAGTGGTTTATACACCCTGGCTTCAAAATCCAGACCAGCCACTGCAAAGAACATGCTGATTGGGAGGGGGAATTGCTTTTGTCATTAGAAAAAAAATTAAAATCGTGGGGGTTGCATCTTGTTTATGTGGTTAAGTAAAGCACACTTTTCAAGTCTAATGAAGTGAAAGTGAATCAGGTTGCATTTCTGTCCATGTGTCTGTGTTTGTGCAGCAAACATTCTTGGTGCTGCAATTTTTCATAGTAGTCTATTAGTGGTGCCCTGAAAAGACTTTTTAAAAGTATGAATCTTTTATAGTAAATGGCTTTATATAGTGGCAAATATCTGCCAGGTTTGTGAAACGCAGTGTGGTGAAGGATCTCAGGATGATCTGTTTGTTGCATTGTGATTCTTTAAGATAACATAAGGTTATCATAAAATAAAACACACATGCCTGAATTGTCAGCTAAGCCATGGAGAATCTGTGACGTTTAATGTATATGATACAGCTAACGAGATGTGACCTGCTTTCTGATTGGGTACCGCCACGGGGTAACTGCTTTTCTATCACTGTTACCACTGCCGGGCTGGAAACGTTGCTGGGGAGTAACTGGTGATGCACTTTGTGCTGGCTAAAAACTCCAAGTAGCTCTTTGCTCCCAAAATCATGGCAAGTGTTTGTCCCTAAGTTGTTGGCTGCAGAGGGGTTGCTGCCATTTAGAACGAGGGTTTGTTTGCTACTGCTTGTTTGTTACTGTTTTGCAACTCTGTTCCTTGCATTCCTGTACATGTTCATGTAATAATTTATAGACGTTTTCAAGTGAGAAAAGCATATATGTATCACTGAATTATTTCTTCCAGGTTTTATGTACAACCTGCTCTAAAAAATGTCAGCACTAACTTAGCCTTTTTACATATGATTTTAGTGGTACTTTTAATACTTGGCCAGTTCCTGATTGTAGCTCCTTTAAGGATGTTACACTAGCAAAGTTTCTGAGTTACTTGTGAAACAGCTTTCCCCTCCTTTGTTGCTGAGGTATGCCGAATTAAACTTCAGCACCTTTAATTGCTATTTTTGCTGTGCAAATTTATATGGATTGTTGTGGGCAAAAAGCAATAACCCACTCTTTCTTGCTAGGAGTGCCTTGCTAGGTTTAAGCAGCATTTTACTTTAACAGTCAGTATTTAGTTAATGAAGGCCTTATGCTCCAGCATTTCTTTTATTTGCTCAGAATAAAAATTCTTTTGCTTTGTGATTGTTCAATGTTTACATTCTGGTTCTCTGTTTTTTTCAGTTTATGAGCTCTGTGCTGTAAGCATTGTTGTTCATTGAAATGTGGTTTTTAGTTAACTCCAGTTCATCTCATTCATCTTCCAATAAAAAACATCTCCCTAATAAACAAACAAAAAATATTAAACTAATTTCCTGGGACACTAGAGTGACCAGGTGTGGCCAGTGTATCCTGCTTCTTGGGCAGATCAGAAAGTGGAAGTTTCACATTAATTTTATGCACTTCCAAGCATGTTTGGGATTGGTAGGTGAAGGCTTCTGGAGCATGCATAACTAGCTCTAATTTTTTTGAATCCAGAGCCTGGTGTGTCATGGAAGGAATGTGCTTATGCTGTGGGTGATACAGGCTTGCAGCATGAACGTTTCTCTTCGGGCAGTCTTTGGAATAATGTAGGCACTGGTCTCTGAAGGAGGCTGCTTGTGCTCTGTGAGCCCCAGGGGGTAGGTGAGCACAGGCAAAGCAGCTTAAGGCGAAAGGAATTACAAAGAAACTCTCCAAAAGACTGGGGGTAGCAAGCTGGCAGATTCCACATGGACCCAACTTGTGCAGAGAGACAGTGGTAAATGATGATGCATTAAAAAAATGGGAAGCTACAGCCATTTTCCCACATATATCCATGGAAAGCCTTTGGGATTTTTCTGGTTTCATAAAATGTAAAAATGTTCTTAATAACCCTGTAGAGTCAGATTCTCTACTGTCCCTTGCAGAGGTGGAAGTTCCAAGGTAGAGCAAAACATACATAATTTAATAAAGTTGTACAGAGAATGGATGGAGAGCCTATGGAAGGAGCATCTGTATGTAATGTCTGTCTCCTCTCCCTTCCCGTTGTAGTTCTCCAAAGCTTGCAGGTAGGTGAGAAGTTTAAAAAAAAAAAAATACCAATGAGCTAGCTGAAGCACCATTACTGATCCAGCAGTAGCCTACTGTTGCCCTCCCAGCAGTAGGGTTGATGGTTGGGGGAGGTAGAAGTGTTCTCAAAAGGGTTCAGGGCTTGGGGACCCTTCCTGAAAAATCCACTGCTTCCACTCCAGTTTCTGTCAGCATTGGGTGGAAGGGAATAACAGTCAGTGTGAAGGATGTGCTCGGTGTATTAAGCAGACAAAGTATAGAGTGATAAAGAAAGGTCATTTAGATGCAGCATAGCTATCTTTGTTGTTCTTGTTTTCTTTAGGAAGAAATGGAAGTCATGAAAGTAAAGAATTAGCAGCTTTAGTCAGTGCTAGATGTGCAAACTTTTGCTCTCCAAACTTCTTATAACTTTATGGGCTCTTCAGACAGAACCTACAACTGTCTTTTTAAATTCAGGGTCAGTCTTAGGCGAAGAATTCCAATCACACCCAGGCAGGGGGTGGTTTTATGATGTAAGTACTGGCAAAAGTCCACCACCTAGCTAATTCTTATGTGATCTAAAGTAAATTAGGGAGTCTGAGTTACTAAACAGTCTACAGGAAAATTGTACCTTCCTTAAAAGTTATTCAAAGAAACCTAATGTGGTAATACTTTTTTCTAAATTAATACCTGCTTTTTTAATAATACTTTGGGAGCATCCAGTACCATTTTGTAATGCATCATCAATCCCTATTTAAAGAAGTAAAATGAATATTTAAATGTTTAATAATCTCTGGCAGATATAAAGATAAATCTTGCTTACTTCTCTCATAGTTGATTAACTTCTGGTTAAACAAAATGCAGCTGTTTCCTTGCTCTGTGTGTGGTTTTCAGGATTTCATTCCCATTCAGTCATACTTGGTTTATCTTAATTTTTTTATATCTGTGTTAGTTTAACATTTCAAGAAAGGAATCCTGTTGTGGCATAATCAACAGTTTCTGAAGTTCTAGGTAGCAATACACAACATAAGTAAACGTCTCTGTTTTTTATAAAACTTGATGTTTAAAAAGGCATCTCTTTCCCTCTTTGATGTTGTAAATCCTTTTCTGTTCTAATTTTTAATCATTTGAAATTGCTTACATTTAAAAGAAAAAAGGTGATTATATCTTGTATATAATTATTCAGTAACATTACAGAGTGTTGTGAACAGATCACTTAAAGTTGCTGACAGTTTAAAGTTTGAGGCGTCGCTTTATTGTCAGTAATCAAAGAAATGTATCAATCTTTTTGCTTGTTTATTTAGTCCCCTGTATTGTTAGAACTTTTGTGGATCACAATACATTAAATTCACCTGTATATCTCTCTGTCACTACAAGAGATTATGCTTTACATCACCATTGGATGCAACACACAACTCTCCCTCTGGCTAAGAGAGCAGTGTTTTTAAGGGTGACTAGAGACCTTGATTAGTAGCATATTTATTTTAAAGACAATCAGCTTAATCAAATGATATTAAACTCCTATTAAACTGTATAGTGAATTTAACGAAGAAAAATATATAAAGAAAATTAAAAGGAAAATAAAGGAAGTTGTTATGATTATTTAAAAGCTGCTAAATGAACTGGAAGCTTACACAGACATTCATATGCAACCAAATATTTAATGCAAATCAAAGCAAAACAAATTTTCTGCTGTTTAATGAAAGTCTCTTATTTTTCTTTCTCGCATTGCTATCTGATGAAATAATCTTCTTCTTCCTGATGCATTTTTAATAGATTAGTCATAAAAATCTGTTGTGACATCACACTTGTTCTCCTAGCAACTTAGCATGGCAAACAGATCTTCCATATTGTGTACATAAGTCTGTCTAATGAGTTTGTTTTGTTGAGGGGAAAACACATAAACTTCTATTTTAAAGTAATTTTGAGGAAATATTCTTTCACCCATAAATATACTAATACTTAACAATTCTAGAAATATGAGTAAAGAATTTTGAGAGTACTTATGAGCCATGCTTTGCTGAAATGAAAAGGTCAGTGTTAAAAGAAAACCCTTGAATGCCTTTAGGCAGACGCTGACTTCAGAATGGTTCAAGGCTCTTTTTACTGATTTTCTTTTATTTCATACATGTTTTCTATCCGTTAAAAACATTTCAGTTGCAGCTGCTTTCAATTAAAATTGTTGCAAACTAACAATTCTTATGAGGCCAGGGGAGAAAAAAAAGACTCCACTTCCTTTACATGTTGATCCTTA